TTTTGGGCCTTGCTTGCTATGTCTGTGGCGCCGGTTTGCCTGCCCTGAATTCCGACCAGCAAAGGCGCTGGGAAAATAGGTGATGGGTCTGACAGTATGCACAGGCGAATCCTCAGCCATCCCGAGCTCACAGGAAGCGCTTCATTCCCACCGCGGTGCAGCCATCGCTCCGACATTGCCATAATTTATCGCGTGGCGTAGGACGACGTCGTGCGCAAGTCGCCCGAGACCGACGAGACATTTCCCTCCACCGCTGTGGCGTGTTCCGTACCTGCAGGCCCTCGCTCTCTGGACAGGCTTGAGGGCACTGAACTGTACTGACGGAGCTCGCACAGGCCTCAGATAAACTCGTAACGCCGTGGTTTGATCGCCCTCAGTAGCTTCTGGCAACCAGGCCGAGCGCTGAGCTGTCAGCCATAAGACCAGCGTCGGTCGCAACACGCCCGAACCGTCTGGCAATCCGGCCGAGCGCTGAGCTCTGTGTCAGTCATAAAACCAACGTCGGTCGCAACACGCCCGAACCGTCTGGCAACCCGGCCGGGCGCTGAGCTCTGTCAGCCATAAGACCAGCGTCGGTCGCAACACGCCTCAACCGTTTCTCGCATCCAGTGTGGTGTCGCTTGCGGTGATGTAGTGGACTGGGTCTCGCAGAGTTTCGGTTCGGAGACGAATGGCAAAGTGACGACACCGACATGCACAGTGCTTGGAGAAGGAACGACGGGAAGGTCGACAGCAAGAATCGATGTGCACGCCGTGCCTGAACCCGGGATCTGGCCCCTCCTTCGTGGTCCACATTAATGCACTCCAAACCCCGACGTCGTCGCTGCGTTAGCCCGTTGCTGCGTTACGTCGTTGCGTTAGCCCGTCGCTACGTTACGTTGCTGCGTTAGCCCGTCGCTGCGTTACGTTGCTGCGAACAGCCGTTGCTACGTTACGTTGCTGCGTTAGCCCGTCGCTGCGTCATGTCGCTGCCATCAGCCCGTTGCTGCGTTACGTCGCTGCGTTAGCCCGTTACTGCGTTACGTCGCTGCGATTAGCCCATTGCTGCGTTACGTCGCTGCGTTAGTCCGTTGGTGCGTTACGTCGCTGCAGTTACCCCATTGCTGCGTTACGTCGTTGCGTTAGCCCATTGCTGCGTTGCTGCGCTGCGATTGCCCCATTGCTGCGTTACGTCGCTGCGTTAGCCCATTGCTGCGCTTCGTCGCTGTGATCAGCTCGTTGCCGCGTTACGTCGCTGCGTTAGCCCGTTGGTGCGTTACGTCGCTGCAATTAACCCATTGCTGCGTTACGTCGTTGCGTTAGCCCATTGCTGCGTTTCGTCGCTGCGATCAGCTCGTTGCTGTGTTGCTGCGCTGCGATTAGCGCGTTGCGCTCGCGGTTGCCTCGCTTGCCGCGGGCTGGATTTGCGTGGCAGCAGCAGTGAATGTGACCGGTTTGCGGCCGTGAACTGACCGGCGTCCCGTTCTGAATTGTGTATTGGGTCAGACGGTCAGCTCGGCGTGGTCTCGCGCAGGCGGCGGCGGGGTCAAGCCGGGGACGAGACGGGTTCGAGCGGGGGACGAGCTGGGAACGAACCGAGCATGGGCGGTACCAGGCATCTGTCTTTCTTCGTAACTGTAATGCAATGAAGAAAACATTTCATTCGGTTATGACACAGCGCATAGCGACAGCCGTCAAAGACGAAAGGATTTTGAGCAAAAAGACGAGGACTGTTGAGTAGTTCTGGTCTGTTGAGTACTGGACATCAAAACCGAGTCCCTTCGTAAACGTTGATGAGACACGACCGCGATCAGTTACACGTCAGTTAAACACGGCGTACGCACTTCTCTGTGCTGACCACCGACGGTCGCGCTGCAGTCGGTCACCACCATTAAACACGGCACACGCACTTCTGTGTTGACCGCCGACGGTCGCGCTGCAGTTGGTCACCACCGTTAAATACGGCACACGTACTTCTGTGCTGACCGCCGACGATCGCGCTGCAGCTGGTCACCACCGTTAAACACGGCACACGTCTTCATGTATCGCCCCCTTCATGTCTTCGCTGTGTCAGCTTGCTTATTGCGATCTCTGCGTGCTTTTGGTTCGATGGTTGCTCCAGACACGGTTGGTTTCGCGGATTGGTTCTTCGGAGTTTCGCACTGTGATGTTTCGGCGTTCATTCCGGTATGGCGCAGCAGCGGGCCATGGCGGCTCCATGTCATGTCCCATCCCCATGTCAACCGTTGCCACTGGAGTCCGTCTCGCACCGCCTCTGGGAAATCGAATGTGCTCACGCGTACCCAAAGATGCCGCCTCTGGAGGTCTGGTGTAGTCACGGACGCCAAGCACCACCGCCTTCGGATGCGGGGGGCGTTTGCGGCACCACCGCGCTGTCGTAACGTGTCGATCACGACCGGCCCGTCACGTGACGGCTGCGCTCTTCCCCGGGGCCCAGTTACTCTGTGTCGGCCGGGGCGTCCGTCTGTGAGCCGTGACCGCCGGCCGTCCTGCGCGCCGGCAGGTTCAAGCACATGCAGGTCCGCGTACACGCCGAGGCTCTGGGCTTTCAAGGCTGCAGCGCCGTGGAGGAGCACCGCTGCAACCGGCGGCTGAGTGCGCTCGTCTCCACGCAGATGTCGCTCTTCAACCGGCGCTTCATGCTCACCGTGGTGGTCAACCTGTTCGACTACCTGGGCGGCATTCTCAACTACCTGGTGATCTCGATCCCGATCTTCGCCGGCCTGTACGACGACCGCACGCCGCAGCAGCTGAGCGCGCTCATCAGCCAGGTGCGTGGCCGCCCGCGGCCGACTGCGGGCGGAAGGCACGGCGCGTGCGCCAGCGGCGCTGCCCGGACGGAACCCAACCGACAGCGTGGATTCATGTTTGGGCCGCCTCTCAGCGGATCACCCTCTCGTCACGCGCGGGAGATGTGGTGTGGGGCCTCTCAATATCTTCGACTAGCTCCTCTCTGTGATAAGTGGAACGGCTCTAAGTGCCACCTGAGTAGAATTCTACAACCTCTCGTGGACTGACTCATTGTCGAATTTATGTACAACACGCTTTGCGACAGTAATCCGTACAGATGTTGGATTCGATGGTGAAAATTTGCGTTTGTGCGCTATTAAAGAGCGAAATGTCACTGGATAACCGTCACCGATAGGACAAAGAATGCTTGTTAGGCCCGGGACAGCCCTCCCAATCTTTCCAAACGCCACCAGTATGGCAGCAGCAGTGGTCGAGCCCCAATGTTCCATTAACGCCTGTCCGACAACTGAGGTTTCGTCGAGGTCCCCTAGGTGGCAGCACCACAGACGGGGCCGCGTGCCGGCGCCGCGTCTCACGCTAAGCTCCGTTTCAGAACTCGTTCGTCTGCATGTACCTGATCTTCAACTTCACCCAGCTGGTGGACCTGGCGTCCAGCGCCACGGACGTGGTGGGCTGCACGCACCGGGTGGGCCAGCTAGTGGAGCGGCTAGCGGTGCTGGAGCAACGGTGGAAGAGCTCGCCGCACACCCCCGACGAAGACACGAGCGGGGGGTAAGAGGCAGACCCGGAGATGGGACACGGACCGTGCTGGCTACCACTCTATCCTACCATCCATTGCCCCTGTTTTGTGTCTTGCTGGTTTGATTGATTGCGTAAACGTCATTGAGGTTCGTTTGTTTGGAAAGATGTTGGCTTTGGCTCCCACGGATGAGGCACATGCTGAAGCCTTCTCTTGTCGTTGGCTTTCTCACGGACATGTTTTATGACGGGAACCCGTTGGTCCTGTGAGGCGGTCCCAACGCGCCCGCAGCCCTCCGGAGCCCCGACACATGATCACAGAGCGGTTGCTCCCGGCAGCGCGCCGCCCCGCCGCAGACGACCCGCAATACGACACGCCGGTACGCGCTCTCGAAGGTGAGCGTGGTGCGTGCCGGGCGCGCGGCCGCACGTTGGTGACGGCGCTCTCGCTGACGGTGCTAGCGCCGCCACCGCTCGCTGCTCGTCACTGGAAGCAGCAGCTGCGGGCAAGACCAGCGTGCTGCGCGTGCTGCGCGGTCTGTGGCCACCGGCGACCGGGCGCTGCAGCGCCACCTGCGCCCCGGCCCCGGACACGTGTCTCATGCCGCAGCGGCCGTTCCTGACGGACGGCTCGCTCCGGCAGCAGGTCAGCGCCCCCTCCGGGCGGCCCGCCGCGCGAGAAACCGGCGACACGCGAGACGAGAACGACTGGCGGTGGCAATTTGTTTGTGTTGTTGCCTTATGTACGCGCTGTGTGCTGCAAATGCCAACAAAAAGCATTTAAACAGAGAGGGGGAGCTGGGTTTGTCATCGCCGGGCGGCAAACGATTGATTGCCATAGATCCGCTGTACTGAAACCAGTTTCACAAAACAGCCTTCTACACGAAAACGCAACTCAATTTGACGTTCGCTGGCGATCTTCGCCTTCGTTAGCTCTGTCACAGATACGTTGTACCTGGGGTTGAGCTTCGTGGCGGCTCATGTCCAGTCGTTCACTGGGCTGGTGGGCCTGACTGTAGTGCGCTTGCTCCAGATCGTGTACCCGGAGCGGCTGAAGGAGGGCGGCTACACGGTGTCGGAGACGGAGCGCATGCTGCACTACCTGGAGCTGGTGCAGCTGAGCAGTCTGGCGGATCGCTGCGGCGGTCTGGACTCCGAGGTCAACAAGAACTGGTCAGTGAGCTGGTCTTGTGGCCGGCACACGACTCCGCGGCGGCCGCCTGACCGCGCCGGCGCGCGGCTTGTGCCGGGAGAGTCTCTGTGGATAGTGGAGTCGGGAGGGGGCGGACAGAGCCAGCCAGATCAGATCAGATCAGATCAGATCAGATCAGATCAGATCAGATCAGATCAGATCAAACCAGATCAGATCAGATCAGCGGCCTCATGGGCATGGTCATGATTTGATGCTGGAGATTGCCGATTGGTGGTAGGAGTAAACTGGCTGATACGCGTGCTTTTTAAAATTGGGCGGACGTTATTTTACACAGCTGTATATATGTGCGTATCTTTATGCGTGTCATCACGCTACGGCATGTAGTATGGTGTTATTGCACGTGACGTCATGCCCGTGGTTATGCTGTGGCCGTTCCAGAGTGTACGGCGAAGACCTCTGAACGTTGGGCTTACGTCTTCGCCGCAGAAGTGGCGCGCTGTCGCGACCGAGCTGTACGTGTTGACCATGTCGTCAGGCCGGCTCGGCCGCCGCGGGCCGAGCTGTACATCTTGACCGTCTCGGCCGCCGCCGGCCGAGCTGTACGTGTTGACCATGTCGTCAGGCCGGCTCGGCCGCCGCGGGCCGAGCTGTACATGTTGACCGTCTCGGCCGCCGCCGGCCGAGCTGTACGTGTTGACCATGTCGTCAGGCCGGCTCGGCCGCCGCGGGCCGAGCTGTACATGTTGACCGTCTCGGCCGCCGCCGGCCGAGCTGTACGTGTTGACCATGTCGTCAGGCTGGCTCGGCCGCCGCGGGCCGAGCTGTACATGTTGACCGTCTCGGCCGCCGCCGGCCGAGCTGTACGTGTTGACCATGTCGTCAAGCCGGCTCGGCCGCCGCGGGCCGAGCTGTACATCTTGACCGTCTCGGCCGCCGCCGGCCGAGCTGTACGTTCTGACCATCTCACCGGGCCGGCTCGGCCGCCGCCGGCCGAGCTGTACATCTTGACCGTCTCGGCCGCCGCCGGCCGAGCTGTACGTTCTGACCATCTCACCGGGCCGTCTCGGCCGCCGCCGGCCGAGCTGTACGTTCTGACCATCTCACCGGGCCGGCTCGGCCGCCGCCGGCCTCCAGGTACGACATGTTGTCGCCGGGCGAGATGCAGCGCCTGTTCTTCGTCCGGCTCTTCCACCACCGGCCGGTGTTCGTGTTCATGGACGAGGCGACCAGCGCCGTCAGTCCCGACATGGAGGAGATCCTGTACCAGGTGGGGCGCGTGCTGTGCAAGGTGGCAAGAGACCTTGTGGGGGTGGTTTTGTATAACGTGGGTATATCCTGCACCAGTTGGGGAGATTGTGTACCAATCGGAAAAATTTCGTGCTAGTTTGGGGGCATACTGTATCAGGTGGGGGACATTCTGTACTGGTACGAGATATCCTGTACCATGTGGTGGATATTCTATGCCAGGTGGGGAAGATTGTATACCAGGCGAAGGGCCAGGTGGGGGAGATTCTATTCCAGGTGAGGGGCGGTCAACCAGCTCACGGCTGGACGTGGGTGGTTGTTCCGTGAAAAGGCAGGGTTCATCGGTTCCTTTTTTGAAGCGGGATGGTTTTTCGACGGCTGTACACTTTCCAGCATTACAGGGCGTTGGTGCTGATATTTTGTTTTTCACGAAGCGCGATATATCTCGTTGGTTCGTTGACAGGCTAGCAGTAGACTGCTGGCAGGCAGGCAGCACGAAAGCCCAGTTTCCCACATTTCGCGTCATATTTCCCAGGAATGTTTGCGGCTGAAGATGACCTTGTTCAGCGTTGGACACCGTGAAAGCTTAACCGCCTACCACGACTGGAAGCTGCACCTGTTTAATGACGGCACCTGGAGACTGGACCCGATCGAGCACGCCGCTGGCGGCATCTGTCCGTGAACACGGCAGGCGGAGCTTCCGTAGTCTTCCGCTGGAATAAGTGGTTCAGGGATCATTCTGTACTGCGTTCTGTATGATTCGATATGGCAGGTGATGGGGAGAACCATCATTGCCAGTTGATTCAAAACAGCAAGTGATGGGGAGAACCATCATTGCCATTTGATTCGAGACAAGTGATGGGGAGAACCGTCATTGCCAGTTGATTCGAGACAAGTGATGGGGAGAACTGTCACTGCCTTTTTAGCTGTAACAGCGTTTTGCAGATTGTGTGCTGGTGGTGCCTGCGGTGTGATACCGTGATTTGGGGTAGCTGCAATATTGGAGGGCTCATCTGGATTTAGCCATCTCATCAGGTATGCCGCGATGGTTGTAATGAAGGTGCATTATTAGAGTGAAATCTTGTGTCGGGATTTTGTATTGTGCCATCAAGTTCATATGCGAAAAGTGCAATTGGGTTTTTTAGTTACACGAGGATGTCGATAGTTATTAGTGTTTGAGAATGTGAATTGTACCATTGCCACTGGCACCCGATGGATGTATTTTACTGTATAGTTGGCGACATATTTAGTACGTGACCACGCGAGTTTTGTTACGTTGTGTTTTGTTTAAATGGTGGCCGACCGGATGCCTTACTTTATACTTCCACCAATAATCTGATTACAAATATACTCACAGATGCAGACTGTACAGCTATCTTTTGGTACCGTTCACAGTGAAGGCTCGGGGTTCTAGGCAAATGCCCTCGGTCCCCTTGCTCTCCCGGCAAATTCTTAGTTTTCTCCGCGATCCCATGGTGTGGCAATAATGAAATCAAAAGGACTTCCAGGAGTAGCATGGTTTTCCCGCGTATTCGGGTTCCCTCATGCCATTACAGTCACCCGTCCCACGACCCCGGCCTCAGTGGACTGCGCTCTCCCTTCAGCGAGAGCCTGCACTGTTCACCACCGCCACACAGGGCTGCCGTGTCAATGCGTGGGTTCCAGCGACGATCTCGGGCGCTGCCGGGGACGTTCGTTATGAATTGGTGCTGTGATCCCCCTTTGCTCAAATGCTTGCGCCATCGATGAGAGGAGCTACGCAGGGCTCCGAGCAATCTTAGTTCACGAGCTGCTGCAACGTCAGACGGTGCGGCAGGCCCGACTGGGCGCGATAGGTCCTAACTGGGTGCGGCAGGCCCTGACTGGGTGCGGCAGGCCCTGGCTGGGCGCGGCAGACCCTGGCTGGGGGGTGGTTGGTCCTGGCTGGGTGCGGCAGGCCCCGACTGGGTGCGGCAGGCCATGGCTGGGTGCGGCAGGCCCTGGCTGGGCGCGGCATACCCTGGCTGGGGGTGGTTGGTCCTGGCTGGGTGCGGCAGGTCCTGGCTGGGTGCGGCAGGCCCTAGCTGGGTGTGGTAGGTCCTGACTGGGTGCGGCAGGTCGCGGCTGGGTGCGGCAGGCCATGGCTGGGTGTGGTAGGTCCTGACTGGGTGCGGCAGGTTGTGGTGTCTCGGGTCGGGACATACCGCCTGGTTCGTCTCGACGGCTGAACTCGCGGCTAACCCTCCGTCGGACAATCCCGTGGCGTGTCCGACGAAGACAGACCGATGTGGCAGATATTTGCGGAAATGAAGCCGTGCGAGCGAAATGTGTGAAGTCGTTTAGCACTGCCGGGTGTACATCTATTCTGAGTTTTGCCGTACAGGGCTCTAAGGACGACGCCATGGGTTAACGAGCGGGTCATGCTAGAAGTTTGCATGCTCTGTGCTCAGGTCAGATTAACAGCTTTACGCTCCGGGGATGTCGCCAGAGAAATGAGGTAAGCAAATTTAAATGTGCTCGGAGGTGACCGGACTCCATGATTGTCCATCGCTTCACTACTTTTGTCACATGGCAGCATCTTGTGACTAGTCACACAGCATGTTCATTTTTCAACCGTTCCCTCATGCTACAACATCTCTGCACTTTGTTTTCGACGTGGGTGCTGTGGGGGCCGATGCGTAAGCGGTATCAGCAAAGCGGAGTTCCAGACGAGCCACGTGCTTGATGAGCTGCCTTGGCTCGGACCGACCTCTTCAAATAATTTGTGATGGTAACGGTGAGATCGGGACGTAGCCCCGCCCGACATTGTATGAATTTGAACGCCAGCCCTGTGGCAATGCACCGGACGAAGACTTGCCCCCATCCCACCTCCCCCCTGAAGACTTGCCCCCACCCCAACCACCCCACCTAGCCCCTGCTGGCATCTCTACGACCCTGCTCAGGACCACAGCTGCACACTGCTACTTCCGTCACCGAGAGGTCCGAGGTGTGCAAGTCCAGCCAGAGGTCCCTTTTGACCTATTCTGTCAGGGCAGGTGACGTCCGTTCCATGCTGGATCAGTTCCGGTTCAGGCCGGTGTGAACGTCACATCAACTCCGCTGACCCTGAACCTGTGTCACCCGCCAGGCTTGCGTGGAGTCGCGAAGGTCCGGCGAGTGCGTCCCAGAGCCCCGTTGGGTGCACTCGGGCCCAACCGTCCGGTGCCCTCGGCCAGCGGCCTGCCGTGCTAACCCGGCCGGCCACCTGCGGTCGCATCTCGTGCCCATTATCTGACCGGACGCGGCCGGGGGGCGCACGTGCCGGCTATCGGCCACAGCTGGCGGCGCGCCCATTAGCAGTCACGGTCGGGCCGCCGCCGCCGCTGCCGCCGTCGCCGGGTGGTGACGGGTCGTCACGGCGCGTGACGTGGCTGACACGAGTGTCGCGCCGTCGTGCCGGACGGGCAGGGCCGCGCCGGACAGGCTTGACGTGGCACCGCCGCGGGCCGACCGCACGACGAGCGGCGGGGAGCCGCCGGCGCCGCGCCGGGCTGCGGCTGCGGCGGGCCACACACGCTCAGACCGTCCGGGGCTGGATGGCGGGCCACACACGCTTAGACCGTCCGGGTCCGGACGGCGGGCCACACACGCTCAGACCGTCCGGGTCCGGACGGCGGGCCACACACGCTCAGACCGTCCGGGGCCGGATGGCGGGCCACACACGCTCAGACCGTCCGGGTCTGGATGGCGGGCCACACACACTCAGACCGTCCGGGGCCGGACGCGCCCCAGTCGCTACTGCCGTGATAATGGATTCCCGCCTCCGAGCTCGACGACACCTTCAGAGAGCACGAGCGCGTCGGGTGAAACAGCTTCGGCATCGCCTCACGTGTATCCAATAATGCGGCACATGCACAGGCGGCTAACACGGATCACAGAATGGACGCAGCCCCTGGAACGCGCATTCACTATTGGGAATGCCCGAGGCTGGATGCCGCTGGCACGAAATAAAATACCAACGTTAAAAAAACAACACCAGGGCGCCCACGCAATATAAAAATAGTTCTCGGTGGACCCTGGCCATTTGGGTTGTCGCGCACTCTTACCAGCGCCGAGCAATAAATATGTGTCTATGAGCCGGGAGGCCGCGTTCACATGGGCGCATAGTCAAGCTGTACATGCAGTTGCCGCACTCCGACGCCGGAGAAGATCATGTGTGTGTGACTGACCACGTACTTGGGGTCGGCGTGTGGCGTCACCTCCAGCTTTAGCACGCCGACGTAGACGTCCGAGCAGAGCGTCCAGAAGTGCGGCTCCTGCACGCTCAGCACGCCCTCCAGCTGCGCCACGCGCTGGTAGCAGCCTGGCAGCAGGTGGTCGAGCTCGCGCGGCTGCCGCTGCATCAGGATGCAGACCGACTCGCGGATCAGCGACAGCACCGAGATGGCGATGGTGGTGGCGATGAACATGGAGCAGATCGGGTCGGCGATCATCCAGCCGAACTGGTTCATCAGAATGGCCGACACGATGACGCCCACGCTGCCCAGCGTGTCCGCTAGAATGTGCAGGAACACGCCCTTCATGATCTGCGAGTTGGAGCCCTGCGGCAGCTCGTGGCTGTGTCCGTGGCCGTGACCGTCCCCGCCATGGCCGTCGTGGCTGTGGCCGCCGCCGCCGTGGCTGTGGCCGTGACTCTCGCCGCCGTGGCTGTGGCCGTGGCCGCCGCCGCCGTGGCTGTGGCCGTGGCCACCGTGCTGGAAGACGAAGATGCCCACCAGGTTGACGAGCAGGCCGAGCACAGAGACGACGAAGAGTCGCTCGTGCTTGACCTCTGGCGGCTCCACGGCCCGCTCAACCGCCTCCGAGAAGATGAAGAACGCGATGAAGAGCAGGAACAGGCCGTTGATGAAGCCGCCCAGCACCTCGGCGCGGACGTAGCCGTAGGAGAAGCGCTCGTTGGCGCGCCACCTAGTGATGACGGCCGCCACCAGGCCGGCCAACAGGCCCGTACAGTCGAAGAACATGTGGAAGGCGTCGCTGATCAGACCCAGGCTGTTGGTCGCCACACCGTAGAACAGCTCCACGAATGCAAACGACAGATTCAGGAGCAGGAAGAAAAAGAGGTTCTTGGCATTCTGGTCGGCAAATATGAGCCGCAGCCAGCCGCCCACCCGCTCGGTCAGCCGCTGCCAGAGGCCGTTCCGGTACGGTCGGTCCTTGCTTGATAATGGCAGCATTGCTGTTATCCACAGCTGTCTGCAGAAATAAAAACAAAGGTGTCACATGGCCAGTCAGGCGATACAACCGTGCAGTAGCTGCTGGCACACCTGATACAGCCAGGCAGTATTGTCCCCACTGTGAACGGGGAACCCTAGTGTCCCATGAGATGAGATGGCTGACTGAATTATTTATGGCTATGACTAGGAACATTAGCTCTCCCCTTTCCTTGTCAGCCAAAAAGTATAACCAATGCCTGTAGAATGACACACAGCTGGCCACATGCGCTGATCTGAATGAAGTCAAACAAGGCATCCAAACTTACATGTTTTTGTATGGCAATTGCAAATTGGCCCACATAGAAATATAAGCAGGGAGCTGCATTCACAGCCTGATGGCTCATATGTTATGTCCCTCATAACTATAACAGTATCCAACTGCATCTTACACACATCTTGGCTATCATGAAATGGAACTACTAGTGCTGAAAAGTCTGCCACAATTAATTTCTTGGAACTGGAGTCCTGCACAATCCTGGCCAGGACGGTCAGCTTTCTCCATAGTTCTAAACTATGGTTTCATTAATTCAGCGGGCATTTACATGTCCGTGATAAAACCAAAGAAACTGTAGCATATCTACAGCTAACAGCTGAAACACCCACAGCAGATTGAGTGTTCTTTAGTTATGGTTGGCCAGCTTCAGGCATGGCTTGACATCCACTGGGCTCATCTAATTTGACCATTCTCATTTATGACCACATGCATCAAGACAGACAACTGAGTCCTGAATATAACATGCCCTGAAACTTAATGAAAATGTGACCTTTATGTCAAATATTTTATTGACCTTCCCTAGAGCATACAGGTCTCTGCAGATTTCCTGGAAAAGCTTTGAAGCCAAAACAAACTCAAGACAAGACAACTGAAAACATGTCAAAACTTTCTGCAGATACCCTGGGATTATTATTTTAATGTTCTTCTACAGCATTCATTTATATCAATATTCTTTGATATTATCTTTTAATCTCCAATCATGATCTTCTTCATGACAGGAGCAGGGTCAGTGATATCTGATCATGCTGATTTGCAAGATATTAGGAGCCACCTATAAGCATGCACACCAGGTGAAACACAAATATGTCAGCTGGTGCAGATCATGTGCATCAGGTGAAATATTTGTGGGATAATGCATATATCTAATAGCTATGTACACATCCCTGCAATCTCAGTATCTCAGGATTTGGATTTCCCAGAGTGGCACACACCCCAGGGACATAATTACCTGCAATTCAAATTGGTGTATCATACAAACTTTTTTAAAACATCCATGCACTGACTGATTTAGGAAGATCTGCATAAAATTGAATACATGACTTATTATCCCAAGGACTATATTAAACATGTTCAGTCGAAGGACGCAGTGTATGGGCTACACCAGACTTAAGCCAGACAGCAAAAACTATGTGTTACACTCAACATGACTGATATAACAGCAAAATCATTGCATGCCATCACTTGGAAACCCCCCAGAGTTTAATGTGATCTGCACCAAGTTCAGTGCACAGAGAACCAAAGTTTCTATGAATTGAGATGCTGAAAGGTAAGTTTAGAAAAAGGAACTCAGTTCTTGAAGAAAAAATTACAACGTAAAAATTAAAGGCAACCTGGCCTTGCGTGAGTTTGCACACACAAGAACATGAGGTTGAACACACTGGTGTATATAGTATTGCATGATGCCAGTATACAGCTGGCACAGTACAGATTTCTGGCAGACTGGGGCTTAAGCACTGCTGTAGAAGGCCAGTTAAGTGCATGCCGCTACTTGCAGTACAAGTCCTGAGCCAGTAGGATCCCACACAGATGCACAAGGTAAGGGCTGTCTGCTAACATCGACAGCCCTGCAGTAAAAGCACACATGGTTTCAAACAGCATGTCAGCAGAAAACAACAGCAGCAAAATAAGTTCCTTATAAAATTTTCATACACTAGGTTGCTGCAGTAATATTTTTTGTAGTCTGTGAGTATAATCTGCATATTTTTGAATGAGCTCACCTAGATGACATTTTTTTAAGTCAGGAGTCATTAGTACTCCTGAGTTTTGTGCATGCTATGGGCAGACTTTTACATAAAGATTATTGAAGCAATCATCAACTGGATTCCATTCATATGTTCACATACCACTTTCCATGTTATTCGAAATCCCTCGATGGACACGCTTGTGGGCGGTGACCGTGCTGCCTAGCCACCATATGCACGCTGTGAATAACAAACTGAAGTACTAGTACTTCTTCCTACCACCCATCGCATTGCACTCACCTGGAACTGCTGTTTCGTGTACAGTTTGGGAGTGTCTTAAGTTTATGGAAAATCACTGCAAAACTGCAGAGCCAGCAATCATTTGAGCCTCTGGGTGGAAAATACCGGCGCCCGCCCGCCCACCAGTCACAAAGCGGTGGCTCGGCTAAGAATAACCCACCACACCTGAACTGAATTCATGGAAATTCGGAAGCAGCTCTATCCTTAAATATTAACTTGATACTTCTAGTCGCACTGCCCCCGACACCAAATTCCCACCCGACTTTTATGACAGACCCGCGCGACCCCACTCGTACATATCAACCACGACAATTACGGCGCATCAGCTGTGCTATTGTATACGTAGCCGGAAACGTAAATATGGCTGCGCTCAAACTATTGTACTCATACCCATACATTCTATGTAAAAAAAGAGATGGTTATTGACTATTTTTCAAAATAACACAGCATTTAACTTAATTTATCAAATCTATCAACCATTTAATAGCAAGAAGCATTATGTTCCTATGGTTGGAAAGATAGTTTGAGCGTGGCACAGCTTCAAAAATCTCCACGCGACGGCGCCACTTCCTCTCGTCAACTTCCCGTGCAGGATGGTAAGGCAGTGGGATTTAAATGCTGATTTTTAGACGGTTTTTAGTTCCTGAGCGATGTCAATGTGTCTGTCTGCTTCTTAGCTGAAGCGTTTAGTATTTTGTAGGTATTGATTGTACTGATCTGGCCGGGTACGGCGAAATAAAGCGTCGGGAGTGACCGGTACAATTCTGGTTTGTGTGTAACGGTCCTGGTTTCCTCTTCACAGCCTCCCAAAAAGGATACAAAGGGAGGGAAGGGTGGCTCTGCTAAGCAGCCCCAGAAGACCCAGAAGAAGAAGGAAGGGTCTGGAGGAGGCAAGGCTAAGAAGAAGGTTTGTGGAATTGTGCTCATGCTTTTCATTTGGAGTTAGAATGACGCAACTATGTTCCGTGATTGGAGCGGAAACAATATGCTCATGTGATGTTGAGTTTTTCAGATTTATTGTGTATGTGCACGCATCTGCAACTGCTGTGCAATAGTTGCTGTGTGGGGGATTCATATTTCTGCATAGGGCTATGTTTTGCATGGAATCCTGCCTGTCAATGTGTTTTGAAAGCACTAGGTGCTGGTGTCTGGATCAGGATATATTGCATGATAGTTTTCCATGGTAATGCTTTGGCATGCACCCCAGCCTAGAACAGGGCTATGCCAGGTGTATTTTTGTTACTTATAGCAGAGCTAGCCTCAAACCTACCTGGTCCTGTGTTGACCCAGTAATATAGAATTCACTGACTTCTAGTACCACTGATAGCAACAGCCCACTGTTATGGCCTACATATTGGCTTCTTAAAATGGCTTCTGTCATTAGAAATTGCATGCCAGACATAAGTGTTTAAAAGTCATTGCTTACATACAGCCCCTACAAATCAGAAGGTTTATTTTTGAAACTCTCCTAGCAGGAGGCCCGTTGATAGCCCTTGATTTTGGAGCCAAATGGTTTGGGCGGTGCTGAATATACATGTGGAAGAGTTATTTATGATCCATTAAAGTCTGACCCTGCTTTGAAGCAGGTGTGCATAGTTTGTGATATGCTGTCAACTCTGAAGGGTCAGATAGGTACCACATAGATCACTGTATGCTGTAATTTGAGATAGTAGAGCAATGGTCATAGGTTATGCATGCAAGGCCACACCATGGCCATGCTTATCATATTGCATGTAACCCTAGATTTGCTGCGGCATATACTTCTCCACTGTGGCATAGAGTAGCATACTCCCAAAATAGTTTGTAAATCTTAAGTGCTAATTTTGATAAACATATGCATGAAACCTAACCATATTCTTTGAGGTGCATTTGTGGACTAAAGCTGGACAGCTCAAACATGACAATGTTGAAATTTGAATCTATTTTTGTTGAAGTGTAATGTTTTGTTTGGCATAACAGCAGAGCATGTATGTTCTAATGGTTTTGAACTGCTATTACCATGTCCAATGCCCCAGTTTTACAAAAGTGAAGTCTTCCATGTTTGAATGCAGCCATAACTGATTGCAACACCAAATGCCCATGCATGTACATTGTTCTAAAGACAAAGGTCTCTGGTAACCCTTCTAAGAGAACCACTTGTGACATGGATCATCATTTCACCAGTGTGTCTTTTCTTTTTTTTTGCAGAAGTGGTCCAAGGGAAAGGTCCGTGACAAGCTCAACAACTTGGTGTTGTTTGACAAGGCCACTTATGACAAGCTGTACAAGGAGGTGCCCTCGTACAAGCTGATCACGCCGTCGGTTGTGAGTGAGCGTCTGAAGGTGCGGGGCTCGCTGGCACGCGCTGCCCTCCAGGAGCTCCACGCCAAAGGTCAGTGTTCGCGTACGACCCTGCAGCGAGCCGGTCGCCCCACCCAGCATCAATGGAAGGCCAAAAATATGTTCTGTTTCACTACCATGGAAGATGTGGCTTCTTTGTCCTAGAGTGCCAGAGCTGCTGGTTGTACTTTTAAGCATTATCAAGTCGTGTCTTCATATTCAGACAATATTCCATCTTTAGTTTACTGTACTGAAAAGATGGCATTTCAAGCTGTGATTATGGTCATAAAGGACTCACAATTGTGGATCAAACTGAGTATGCATAAGCTGTTACAGTGAACCTAGAGGGTACACACAATGAATGTCACATTCTGAATAAGCAGGAAGTATTTTTGTGATCCACTGTTCTTCATTTTTTGCTCATGCCCATTCCCTGCCTGTGCATTACAAACAGGTCTGTTTTTATTGGTGTTTGCGTAGCATTGGCATTCCGCTGCTGTCCAAAGTGCCTGGCCTGTGACTGCCCAGTTATTTGCTTGTGTGGCGTACTGGCTCGCGGTGGGCACTGATAGCGCCTGCCGTGTCTCAGGTCTGATCAAGCTGGTCACCAAACACCACGCACAGATGATCTACACGCGGTCAACGGTGGTGGAGGACGAGGAGAAAGCCTAAATGTTCCATCCCTGTTCATGCAAATAAATAAGTGAAAAAACACCGAACCTTTATGTGCAGTTGGGAGCTTGGATTGAGCCGAGGTTCTATGCGAGTGTGCGTGACGTGTAAACGTCTTGCGTAGTTTCTGGTGTGGGGCGTGCGAGGCGTGAACTATGAGACGTGAACTAGCCGTTGCTTCAACCCTTTTACACGGCCTTGCGGTGCAAATGCCCTCGCCATAAGTTAGAGCCATTGATGCTCGATTGCCAATGTGGTGATTTGGTTTCATGGTCAACGACCGTTGCATTGCACTCTTAGTCTATGTCGGTGACTAAGTGTGGGTTGCGGAAAGGCTGCATGCATATTTACGCGCTAGAGGAAAATCTTGATGCAATGGCATTGGAGACTCGTTTATAATTGCGCGCATTCAGAATAATTAAAATATTCCAAAAAATGAAGTGCGTATGTCCGGTACGAGTTCCCGTCCTCAACTAGCGCAGTGTGCGTACTGGATGGCGTAACTGACGATTCCGCTGGGAGCGCGACATGGTGATATTGAGAATGCGACGGTCCGGAGTCTGCACCGAGAAGGGACTGGTGGGAGTGCACACCAGGGATAGTACTGCGGAAGGTTCATGCTGAGGACGACCCGGTCCAGTCATCACCAGAGTTTGGACTGAGAAACACTGGGCCGGCACTGAGAAGACTGCTGAGAACGCGCGACGACAATGTATGTGTGCGTTTCAAATCAGTACCAGAAACGAGTCACTGGGGATTTGCACGAGTATCGCAAGGGATCGTACTGAGTGGGGGGCGGCCGAGAGTCGACTGGGAGCTATGGGACTACGGACCACGGAACGTGCAACCACGCGTGCGACGTACTGCGCGCGTTGCATGTTCAGGACGGATGCCGGCCAAATTGAGAATGTGCCTACCGCGAGTCCACGCTGGACGCGAGCCTTCTGTCCGCACTGTGCCGGACAATCGTTAGTCCGTGCCGGGCACGAGGCTGTCTGAAATCCGATTCAGCAAGGCCGACAGCATTGTCTGCGAACGGGACTGTTGATAGCACAGAGGGATGCGAACGCCTATTGTCGGTGAGCGCGCGAATACCGCGATTCTGCGCTGAGAACGATGATTCTGAGAAGGCACAGAGGCCTGCGAGCAGCTCCCGTGCTGACGCGCTGGAATGGGTGGCGTGGGCCGACTGCCAGTGGGCGTCAGTATTTATAGGCGGTGAGTACGAGCCGGGCACGGCAGGGCGGACGGCAGTCCCGCAGACGGTGTGGCGCCGCGCACGCGGCCGGCGCTCCGGCCCGCGGCTCACGGTGCGACCGGGGACGGACCGTTCACGCGGCGCGCAGATACAGCCCGCCTCGCTCACAGCGGCCACCCGTCTTGCCTGCGCGGGTGCACTGACGCTGACACGACGCGTCAATGGCCGAGGCTATGCCGGTGTCGGACGCGCAGCGGGAGGGAGAGAGTGGCGCCCGGCCTGAGACGCCGCACCTGACGGAGGACGAGTCGCTGCCCGACCTGGAGCAGGCCGAGGCCAGGTCAGTTCTGTCTGGAACGCAGGCCACCACCAGAGCTCAGCCTGCTGGCCCAGGAACAGCTTTGCGGCCAAACCATTTGTTTGTGTCTTTGTAAACGCTCGCCGCAACATGTGCGGAACGCTGAAGGCGCTGGACAGCCATGCCGCAACCCTGAGCGTGAAAACAGCGCCCCGGCTGGCGTGCGGTAGTGATGCGATCGTCCCACTGGACTACCGAAAGACCCTGGCATCACCATTGCAGCGCATTGTGTGGATGGCCGACAAAGCGGAGGACGCCGTGTGAGACAGGACGTGCAATTTTTGCTTGAAAATCTGTTCGTCGTAACTCCTTGCATCACCGGAAAATGGTATCGCCTCACGCTGCTCCTAGGAAGGAAATTGAGACTTGCGTTCAGCCCAGCCGGTTTACTTCCGTGGTCATGTAATCGACAGCTACGTAGAGAGGTCAAGGGTGCATCGCAGGGTACATCACGTCAAACGTGTATCTTGAACTCGAGGGCTAGTACTCAGAGGGCTCACAATGTCAGGGCTCAGACTGGCTTGATAGTGAGGCCCGCAGAACGTAGGGAACGCCGACACAAAACTTGCCCTGAGCCCAGCGCACCTAAGAAGATTCGCCCGAGCGCGAGGGGCCGCTGTGTGCCGACCTGCGTGATACGACACGGGTACCATGTGCACGGCAAATATGAGTAACACGCACAGCAAAGTTGCGCTGTGCTGATTTTACGGTAAAGCTGTAAGAGCGCACAACCGATCGTCTTACGAGCTACATTTACAATTGG